GTGTGAAGCACGAGACACCATCGCTCTGCTGAAGCAAACTAATACTTGAAAATAAGTTATTGTTAGACTGCCGAGCCAAGCATTCATCAGGTGTAGGCCAACTTTCTGTCAGCTGGACATCTCAATAACCCTGTAGCTTAATGAAGCTCTGTTTAGCCTATTATCTGCCAGCCAGAGTATTCAAATAATAATAATGTCTGTAGTTCAACAAAGAGAGAGACCAGGAGGCAGTCGAGTGAATTCCTCTGAGGCTTCTTTCACGCTATTTACAAAACAGTGAGATTAACAGCCATCAGGGCACGGTACTTTTCCACTTTATCTGGTTCCCTGTGAGGAGGCAGTCAAACTAACCATGCAGCTGGAGAAGCCATGCCTAGGTAGCTCATTTATATGCGGTAAAAACATGTCTGATCAGGTCAAAAAACAGTTAAAACATGAAGTTTAATTATTTTTCCATTCAGCACCATGGAGACAGCAATTAAAAAATGGCTTCTGTTTGCCCCTGTGGCCGATGGGAGATCCCCTTTTCCATCTGCATTTAGAAGGTATGTTGATACTGATATGGACCTTATATAAGTCTAAAGGCTGCTGGCCATTCATTTCGATTACAGCTTGATTTCGAGGCAAAGAGGTCGTTGCACTACTGTATGCACTTCCTACTTCTAGGACCGCAGTACGAAAGCACAAATATACACTGTTACATCTTAATGTCATTTCCCAATCTTGTTCAGAAAAGGGTTTTGTTCCTCCCTGCGTAATGCACAGGCACATACACACAAGTGAAAGAAGAAAAGCCATAATCAAGAAAGAAGTTAAAATGTTGTTATCTGTCGCTGGTGCACAAATGTTTGCCAGGTCGTTTATCAAGTGAAAGTCAGGACGAGTTAACATGCGTGAACACATTATTGCACAACAAAAACTAATGTTTGCTTTCGATTGACAGCCCATCTTGTGTTTGTCACAGGCAGCTGTCTGGCCGTCAGTCAATGTTACACTCAAACCAAGTTAGAAGGGGGATGTTCACAAATACAGTTTCAAATGAAATTATTTTAATAAGGAGTTTTACATATCAGATCTATTCCATTGTTAGTAGGGAATGTAATTTGTAAATGTGTAGTGTGATCATTATGTTGTCCCTAGCACAGGTAGGTCAAATAACCAAAAACTAGTTCAGACTAGAAAATGCTTCCTGGGTAAATCTAAAATATGTGTAAACTAGGGGTGGGGGTGATAACGTACAACAAGAGCAGCATTCTTCATAACAGGTTTTCATTTAAATAAACCTGTTATGAAGAAAGCTATTTGTCGCATAGGGAACAGGTACAAATATTTGACCATCACGCTGAAGTCCTTTTGCTAAACCGTGGAGATCCCCAAGGGAATATGATCAGCCCCTCGTTGTTCCTAAATGAATGACATGAAAGAGGTGTGTAAACGTGACATGTTCCTGTACGCAGATGACTGGTGTTTACTGACAAAAACTTGGCTACGCTTCAGGAAAGACTGAAAGAATGGTTGACTAAAATCAGTTTATGGCTCTCTAAAATTAAACTCGGTTTACAACTATAGGAAAACAGGAGGGGGATGACTTTCCTGGTAAAAGATCAGTCAATTACTCGGTCTGTACACTCAATGTACAAAGGGCAGGTAGTTTAACGAATTGTCAAACAAAACAAAAGGCCTATTTGTTAGGTGTGTAAAACTAAGTACAATATATTGTTTGTAATGTCTGTCATTAACGTTCAAAACACGTCACTAGGATTGATGCTGAGAGACGCCACTGAAGGTTAACGGAAACTGGCCATGAGATGAGTTGTTACATCGTTCAACACGGGTCCAGAAATGTGAATAAACTTAAGAGCACAATAACAGTTTCATTCAAGTCTGACACCATCATTGAATTTTAACAGTAAAGAGCTGCTAGGAGAAAGCAAAGCCTTCTTACTCACTCACTGTATTCATTTTTGATCAGATATCAAACAAGGAAGTACTGCGCCTGTAATTGATATGTTATCTTGTCAGTAAAACATTGTGGACTGTGCTATGAAAGTGATGACAGAAAAAAATGACTCAGACATTTCCATTCATTGAACGGTGTCTGTACTAGGAAATTACAGTCAGACATGAACTAAAATGAAACTTTAAAAGAAGACTAATCAAAATGATTACATACCTAAAATGGGGGACCAATGAACTGAATTGTTAGTATGCATTGAACATATAAGGAATCAAACAAATTACAACGTCTGACCTATGGGTCTGATCTCTGTTAGAACAAAACGTAATGTGGATCTTTTGACGCTATGGTTGATTATTTTTATCCAGCAACACCAATACAAGTTTTTGGATTTGCGTACGGTTATCTCTCTTATATAACATATTAAGCCTTACAAGCCTGATTTTTACATTGTGAAGCAGGACATTAATGTAGCTAGAGTCACCAGCCTCTGGCTTATAAGTTATGAGCTCAATATACATTTAAAGTATACTTTAATGATGTTGTCTGGAGCACTTACAATGATTTATGGAGAGCAAGTTCTGCCATTTGTATTCAAATCGATTTGTAAACCTCCCCATCTCTTGTCTGAGCTCTGTGAAGTGCCTACATAACCTTAAGCATCCATCTGTTTGCATTTCACATATTTATTTATTTATTACTACAATAAGCAGTATTTTATTCTTGTAGAGTATTTAATTTGACATTCTGTTTTGAGCTCATCTGCTTCTATTTAACATGTATATAGTCTACTTCTCCTGCATGACTTGCACATAGGTCACGTGTACTATTCTCTTTCTTTTTGTATTATATTTGTAAGTCTTATATATATTTATGTTGAATTTGTTAAGGAGACCGGGGCTTAAGATGTTCATTGCTATAACCACACTGTAGCTACTGTGCAAATTACAATAAAACCTTTGAATCTTATAAACAAATTAGGATGAAGAACATAACGTTATTTCGCATTAAAGAAAAAAAAAAACCCACGTAGATTTAATACAAATCCCAATTTCTACCAGTAGTGGCAACGTTAATAAACTCACAAAAAGGAAAACTGCTGCAAATGTTTCACCCGACGCTTGGCACAGGAAGAACCAAATGGTGTTTACATTTCCACCTGGATAACCAGCGTTAGCATGCTAGCTAACTCAAATCGGTTTCGGTTAGCAGGAAAGCTAGTGCCTAACTTTAGTCGCCCAAAGAGTTTCAGCCCAGCTGATCTATGATGTTTGCTAACCCACCGCACAGTTAAATCGACACTATGGTTTATCTTAAGTAAGAATCTTAGCAGTCATAAAACAGCATCTGGTGCCAGCAGAGGGTTTAACCCAATGTTGAGTTTAAGATAATTTACAAGCTAACAAAGCTAAAAACTGCTAGCTGCTCGTCAGCCTCGAACAGGAGGAAGTTGAGTTCTGTGTGATATTATTAACCAACCGTTAGCTAGTTCTGGCAGTAAAGATCATCTCACACACACTTACCGTTATGTTTTCATCTGGTCTCCCTTTTCTTCACAACAGAAGTGTACACCGTTGTCTCAATCTCTGAATAAACCGAACATTTGTTACAGAAAACTTCGTAGGGCAGCCAATTCCCCGAGTGAGCCTGACTGATGATGTCAAGCTAGGGGAGCAAGTATCAGCAAACAAACGTCACACTTCCTGTTAGAATGTGTCCGCTTTTCACAATAAAAGCCTTTCTTGTATAAATGTTTTTTTATTAAAGAATTTCCATTTGATTTTACTATAAACTTCAACTACAGTTCAGAATCAAATATTGTTGCTTTTACTTCACTATATGTATTGAATGACTTTAGGATCTGAGTACTTTTTCCACCACTCAACAGTAGTGGAAGAAGAGCTCACATTGTTTTGATTTGAACTCAAACTACAACAAAGCTCCATTTTTAGTATTAACAATAATACAAACTAACATTGAAAAAACAACAGACATATAACTCGCCTTCCAAGTGTTAGATTACTTTACAATGCTTTTCTTTATTCTGAAAAGGTATAATATGTCTCTAAAATATGTGTGCCCCTTTTAAAATGTATATATTATTCGTTTGTATACAGGTCTGCCTTGAATAAGAAACCCTTAGGTCAATAAGAATAACTGTTTAAATAAAGGATGAAAGATGCATTAAGCATCCACTTGTCCTGTTAAGTCATTTAACAAAAGATTACTCATTATTTCATTCTTTATTTTGAATAATAATATATTCAACTATACAACTAGTAACTGTAACTCTGAACTATATCAGTGGTTCCCGCTGAAATGTATTAATTATCAAAGTAGAATTAACTTAAATGATTATTAAAGAACAAATAACTCAGAATTGTTGCCAACATGTAGCACTGTAATGAGTGTAGTCTACAATAGTTACTCTACCCTGGAAATAAACGTTGTGTTTTTAAATTCCAAAAGATGATATTATTTCTCGCTCTTATTTCTAATCCACATTGTTCCAACGGAACATATTTTCCTGATAGCAACTGTTGACTTGACACGTTGTCATAACACCCGTTGAATGTGTTTCGAACTCCAATCCACTAGGGGTCAGTAGCAGAAAGGCCAGTTGCCCCCAGCATTAGACGAAGAAACCGGAAGTGACTGAAATGTGTGAAAACACATTTTATTTTTTAATTCTTTCCCTATGAAATGTTCAAATGTTAACCGAACAAGTTTTGATAAAAACCGTGCGATAAAGTTTAAATACTTATTTAAATTCTCAGACTGTTGATTGAGGCCAATAAAAGCAACGTAATTTAAGGTTCGTTTGATGGAAGACCCGCATTGCATGATGGGGTGTTGCCCAATTGATCTCAGGCAAAACTCAAATAATAATGTCCAGCCTTCATACACAAGCGTGTCCTCTATATTAAAGCCAGGGTTTGATCAATTCTTTATTTCTCCTTGATTGAAGACATTTTTATTGTTACACCATCAGTTAGCATGGCTTGTCTGTGAAACTGTATCCCATCTCACCCCGTTGCAACTCATACTTACCTGGCAGGGGGGTCTCCATGATCACTAAGGTGGATCCCCTACGGCGAGGCGCGGCCATTGCACTGACGGTTGCGCTGACCTGTACGAATCCCTCAAATGTAGGAATCTCGACTGCATAATTTGTGGTAGTGGGGGACTGCGTTCGCGCTCTCCCCTGATAAGATGAAAAAAGTAACGATGGAGGAATTGGTAGCTGCAAGCCATCACTAACAGAAGGCTTGCACTAAAGGAACCCCAAGTGGTTTATGATCAATGACTTACCGAGATGCTGATGACTTTTAATGGCAGCAGGAATGTATTCGACCTAACTTGTGTGCAACTATGTAATAACAAGCAGAAGAAGTATCTGTGACAATATTACTTATATATCCTCACATTCATTTTGATAAAACAAATAAACATTAAGAGAATCCTGCTGTAATCATCTAACTCTGTGTCTCTGTTGTTAATAGAACAGCTATGGATATAAACTGTCCGTCACTGAATAAGCTATGAATGATACACCAGCAAACGAGCGACGAAGTGGTGGGGTAAAAACTCAGTTGGCAGCGAAACACATGCAAATGAATAATAGTGTCAGGTAGTAATAAAAGACACATTGCACACAAATTCCCGAAGAAAAATAGCTCATTATGTCTTGTTAATACAATGTACACAGTACGGTGACAGTCTTGGGAGAGCCGCTGTTTCTCTACGCTCGGACAGCCCGCCCACTTCAAACACTCCATTGGACAGTACTATAGACTTCCAATCACATGCGAGTACAGACTGTACAGTTAAGCCTTCTGATTTGCCAAATGTCTACAGTCGGAGTCCCGCCTCCAAACTCCATTAAACAGTACGACTGTCGACTTCCAATCGGATGGAACCGTCAGAGAACTTGGACATTTAGACAAGATATTATTGAAAACATCAGGCAAAACTCAAATAATAATGTCCAGCCTTCATACACAAGGGTGTCCTCTATATTAAAGCCAGGGTTTGATCAATTCTTTATTTCTCCTTGATTGAAGACATTTTTATTGTTACACCATCAGTTAGCATGGCTTGTCTGTCAAACTGTATCCCATCTCACCCCGTTGCAACTCATACTTACCTGGCAGGGGGGTCTCCATGATCACTAAGGTGGATCCCCTACGGCGAGGCGCGGCCATTGCACTGACGGTTGCGCTGACCTGTACGAATCCCTCAAATGTAGGAATCTCGACTGCATAATTTGTGGTAGTGGGGGACTGCGTTCGCGCTCTCCCCTGACAAGATGTAAAAACTAACGATGGAAGAACGTGCAGCTAACATAAGGTTTGCACGTTAGTAGGGGTCACCAACCTTTTTTAGGATGAGGGCTACTTTCAAAAAATAAACCAAGTCGGGGGCTACTTTTACTCCTCTTTTTTTAGTTTTTTGCAATGTATATATTTAGCACATTTTTACATTATTATATGCTTACCTTTAACCTTTGTGTGCTGTTTGGATCTGTGGGACCCGTTTTCAGTGTTTACTGAAAGAAAATGTTTGCAATTTAATTATTTTAACCTGCTTTATTTGGGGGTGGGCCTCACATCCTCTAGGGGGGGCCTCACCTCCGGGAAGATGTTTTTTTAAATGTTGAAGTGAAATGCATCAATCTGGTGCACTTTGAGCACAAAATGAATTTATGTATACAGCTCTCAACACTCAGGGAGCTGTATACTTTTAAATACTCCAATCATCTTTAGAATATTATCACAACCAATAACAAATCATTAAAACTTGTTTATTCTTATCTTATGTTAGCATTCTTTCTTTTTATTTATGCATATTTTACTAATCATTCCCCTTTTAAACTGTTTTTTGTACTGTCCTATAGTACACATTGGAATGATTTCTTACTTTATCTATATTAAATAGATAAAAGTGTGCTCTACCTAGCTCTCTCTCCCTCCCTCCCTAGCTCCCTCGCTCTCTCTCTCCCTCTGTCTCACTCGCTCACAGAGGCTGTGTGCTCCTCCGTGGCGATGACGGCTTGCGTTAAAAAATAAACATATTTGTAAAGTGGGGGGACACAAACGGGATTTCGAAAAATGCGGGGGACATGTCCCCCCCCTGTCCCCAGTGGAGATTACGCCATGCGTGTGTGTGCGTCAAGTGGAATAAATATATATGCAAGTTACAACACACAGAGTAAAACTCTGCCCCTCATGTGCAGTATAGGCTGGCATGACTAGGCTGTGTTCAATGGGGCTGATGTGTTGTGTAGAGATTCTGCCAGAAGGAAAATCAGCGGGGAGGTGGCACATTGCTTTTCTTCCCGACTGCAACGCTGGTCCCGCAAATCAAGCAAGAACGTGATTGGTCGATATTCATTGTGGGGGTGGGGAGGAGGGGTGTTAGATAGATATAGAGTTGAAGTAAGTAGATAGAGTTCGCTATGATTTAGGTTTCATTTATGCATAGGGTAGATTCTTTTAATTACATTTCCTTTTTTGTTTTGTGTATTTTATACATTTTGGATTTGCTTGGCGAGCTATTTTTAGAACATGCCCCGCGGGCGACTCACGTTGCCACATGCGGGCGACTGAGTGCCCGCGGGCACCGTGTTGGCTACCCCTGGACCGAACCCAAGTAGTTATGATCATTGACTCACATTAAGATGTTGATGACTTTTAGTGGCAGTAGGAATTTATTCGATCTAACGTGTGTGCAAGTATTTCATAACAAGCAGAGGAAGCACCTGTGACAATATTACTTATCCTCACATTCATTTTGATAAAACAAATAAACATTAAGATAATCCTGCTGTAATTAACTAACAATCACATAAACTGTGTCTCTGTTGTTGAAAAAAACCCGCTATGGAAGTAAACTGTCCGTCACTGAATAATCTGAGAATAATTTACTATCCTTTGCCATTTTCCAGAGACAGAAAATGAATACATACACATGCACTGGGTAACTCCATTTTGGCTCAAAGGAGCTGTTTTAGTTTGTCATCAAAGGCATACAAGAGTTGAAGTTGAAAATGGTCTTTACATTAGTCAGGGGTCGTCCGTTTACTCAATAATAGAAAGGAACAGGTTGGTAACCATTTGATTAAAGAAGCCTGTTCCTCCCGTTGGACGTGCAAACTCTGGTTGGAAACACAAGTATCATTATAATGATATAGGTGACTCTCCTTAAGTTTCCCGTCAGAGAACTTGGACATTTAGACAAGATATTATTGAAAACATCAGACAAAACTCAAATAATAATGGTCATCCCTAATACACAAGTGTGTCCTTTATATTAAAGCCAGGTTAAACAAATTAAATGATGTATTTCGCCTTGATATAAGATATTTACGTTTTTGGCACCATCAGTTAGCATGGCTTGTCTGTGAAACTGTATCCCATCTCACCCCGATAAAAGTCATACTTACCTGGCAGGGGGGTCTCCATGATCACTAAGGTGGATCCCCTACGGCGAGGCGCGGCCATTGCACTGACGGCAGCGCTGACCTGTACGAATCCCTCAAATGTAGGAATCTCGACTGCATAATTTGTGGTAGTGGGGGACTGCGTACGCGCTCTCCCCTGATAATATGTAAAAATTAACGATAGAAGAAGTTGCAGTTAAAGCCAATAGAATGCAGGTAGTGATGGCGAGATGAAGCCTTATGAAGCTTACCAGCCAAGCCAATTGGTTCGCAAAAGGGTTCATCTCATGAAGCTTAATCATGGGCTTCATTTGAATGATTTCAACACAAACCCTCTGTTGGTCAAAGTGTGTAAAACATGCAGATTGGACATCTCAACAGTGTGCTCTCTCATACCGTGTTCCCAATGAGTAAAGCCTTATGCTGCGTTCAGACCGGACGCGATGCGAATATTCGCTTCGCTCTAAACGCTCCTATCGCATCGCTCGAGTTTCACCGCGGCTGCCAGCTGTGTTTACTCGCATCATTCAAACAAGACGCGCTCGGGAGCTCCAACTACAACAAAATGAATATATTTTACCGTGATTAAATTGTAATGCACGTTTCTAAATGATGCCGACGTAACAACATACTGATACCGGTTAGTAAAAACCATGAATTAATGCTTTGACAAGTCTGAAGACAGACGGCAGGCGAAAAACCTTTTAGAATGCTTGTTTTCTGAATGGAGCTTGGCAAAGCTAACGTTCTATTTCGTATATGGCTTCGCCCTCTAAGGCTATCGCTATTGGGTTTACCCTTCTGCGCCCCCGCGCAGTACTGAAAACACTTGTAGTCCACGCCCACCCGCTAGGTGGGCCCCACCCTCGGGCCTCCTTCCGGTATAAATAGGGAGGTTGCCCGGCGATCTGCTCCCTCTTTTCTTCAGCAACCAGCAGTTTACTGAAGCACGAGAAAAGCAACATCATGAGCAATAAAGAGTGTGTCCGTATGTGCAATACGGGCTACATTATGAGCTACGATTTGCATCCAATATGCGCAGCCTGTCTGGGGCCAGAGCACGCGGACGCGGCTCTCAGCCAGCAGGTCGCATGTCCTCACTGTGTGCGTCTTCCTTCATCCGACAGGAAGCGAAGGGCGGACGCTCTAGCTGCTGCGGGTGAGGAAGACGTCTGGGGTGGGCAGCAACCCATCCAGAACACACCACCGTGGCTCCAGAGGAGGCGGAGGAGATCGCTAAGGCGGCCAGCACGGCGCTCTCGCTGTGCGCAGCCGTGGCGGTGTCCCAGGCGAGGATTACAGCCTGGATGACACAGATCCAGCGTCACCTCTGGTTACAGCAGGCAGCGGTCACAGAGCCAGCCAGGAAGGTTTTACTGGACGCTCCGATCAGCTCGTACGGGCTGTTCGGGCCCCAGTTCATGGCCATGGTTGATTCCATGAAGGCGGCATCGGAGCAGGCGGAGGACATCCACCAGCACGTCGGCTGGCTCCAGCCAGCGGTGAAACAGCAGCGACACCAGCGGCAGCAGCAACAGCCAACCCGGCAGACGGACAGACACCAGCAGCAACAGCAGCCGAGGCGTCAGAATCGTCCGTCAGCGGCGGCCGGGGCACCGGCCCACACCTCCAGGGCACCGTCCCGCACCTACGGGCCCCCACCAGAGGGGGGTAAAAAGGGAGTGAGATACTCCCGTTCGGCGTCTGCTCCATGAGAGCCGCCGAGGAGACAGAGCGGCCTTGACGGTTTGGGAGGGAGTGTGAGG